TAAACTTTGAGACAATGCATCTTATATAATTAATATATTCTTTTTAACACTGATAAAAAAAATTATAATAATATAAGTAAATACATATTTTTCTTTGATAATAAAAATCTGATACTAAAAAGAAAAGTATATTAAACATATTTTTAGCTTGTTATATTTATTTTTGACATTTTTATAGCCGATCTTGGAAATTTCCCTTCATGTTATTTTAGAAAACTCAAAAATTAAAACACGTATTCTCTCGTTTCAAATAATATTACTGAATTAATTTTAACTGCATTTCGAAAGTGTCTTTAAATTAAAATCGTTTACTAATTATTGCCTGTATATTTTAGAATAGTAGGTATATTAAATAGGTACCTAACAAGTTTCATAAGACAGGTTTTATTCTTATGACAAACGAGTTCTGTACTTACACCACTTTTTCTATTTTAAATCCATTTTTGAATTTTGTAACTCTAAAGGAACTTTGAAAGAGAAGTGAACAAAAATGTATGGGTTATTATAATTTAGTTTTATTTATGGTTGGCCAAACGAAAACAAATCCGAATCGATATCTGGAATGGCATCAACATTTTACAAAGACGCTTGGACCCTTTAATTTTTAATCACAGGGGGACACATTTCTATCATATCCTCAACTGCCATACGTCATCCCCTTCCCATCCATCAATCAAACCAATTAGGCATTACTATGAAGACTAGATATAAGGAGGCGATACGGCAAAGATCAAATTTCAAATTTCTGTCCTTCTTTTTATAAAGTTTGCTAAATTGACTGTAGTTGGCAGGTCGAACGTTACTGACGTTCATTTTCTATAAGTCAATGTATAAAGAAGTAATTTTTTAAAAAAATGGTGAAAATAATCAAAATAATATGAAAAAAAGTACCTGAGTACAAGTAACATGAGTGATAAAAAACATTATAGCAAGATTTACTTCGTTCCCCATTGTAAAATAGGATAAAAACAAATGTATAACTAAGGAAAACACAAGGAGAAATCAATTCACTGTCTTTTTAAAGCTTCTAATGTAGTTAAAATAATGTATTTATGTCTAAATATATTTATTTTATACTAGTCACAAGTTTCTATAAAACAAAATTTTACAGTGATAATCCTGACTTACAAACAACAATAATTATATATTAAATTTAACTTACTAGAAAAAAAAACTTGTTTTTTATAGAGTTTTAATGTTAGATAATGAGTTGCTACTGTTATTTTTTTGTTGAACCCCAATTTTCTCATTGTAAATGTTTTTTATAGGATCCTAAACGCTTAGAACAGTGGCAGCATATATATCGTTCCTAGGGCCAATAAAGCACTTTCTAGAGATGATGCTGTTCTACATTTTTTAGAAGATATTTCTAAATATTATGAGACTCTTTTTACTGATGGTACTGTTGTGTGACAGTTGAGGATATGATAGAAAGATGTCTTCCTTTGATAAAAATTGACGACTCTGGTATTAAATAACGCATCAGCTGTACTTGCTGAATCAGACTTTGATCGAAGTTTAAAAACGCCAAATCAGTCTCATATAAATCGATTAAAACCGAGTCATAACGAGTAACGAGTGGTGCTGTTAAAGACGACATCGTTCTCATTGAGGGAATATTGTGTAGCTAGCTATGTTTGCGAATTGGGACCTTTCCGCATTTTAATGATTACATCATAATTTCAATTCCAGTTTTAAAATGTATTCGTTAGAGAAAACATTTTGGCCGACAAATTTTAAGATTTTTGAGATACGAATTTGTCAAGTAGTGTTAAATTTGTTCTAGTTGGACTGTCTATAGTTTTATCAAATACGTTCGCAGGATAATAGTTCAATTCTTCATTATTGTGTCTTCTAGAATTAAAACTAAATGCTCGGGACTCACATATTTTATTTGGTAAGGAAAAATTGGCTAAATTATTTTTTATTTCTCTTATTTCAGTACGTCAAATCTGGTATACCAGATATATAAAGATATATTAAAAGAAATACGGTACTTTCGGAAAAACCTGTATTTTTGACTAAATCTCAATTCCATTCAAATGATGTTTCTTATGACCCTAATTGCAATTAAAAAATCAAGATGGCTGCAATCACAGAAAATGTTTGCGAAAAATATCCAATTATATGAACTCTGAACCCGAGGGTTGAGTGCCTACCAGGCGCGTCTCCAGGTGGCGAATAGAAGGACGGCCAGAATCTCTGGCTATGACAGATATAAGTAGGGTAAGTAAAAATCTCCAAATTACTCTGCGACAACTGCCACCGTGAACCAACTCGCCTTCGCCGGAGGTTGAGGCGGGATAATCATATTAGACATGGGTAACGCAGCGCTGCGTTGCGTTATTGCGTTAACGCAGTTGTATGCGTTATGAGCGTTGATACACCAGCTGTTACTGTATCAGCGCAACGCAATTTTCGATTGAGTCGAAAGGATCGCGAGTTGTTGGTGCGCCATGCGCCAGGCACTGATTGCGTTTTTCGTGACGAGTTGAGAATTTTAATTTACGTAATTGATGCAACTCGTAATGTAGATTATCCAAAATCTATCAAGTAATTATGTTCTTTGCAACATGTCACATCATTTTTTGTAGGATTGTAGGTCGAATTTTGTGGATTTTAACCTTGTACACTGTCAGTTTTTAGTTCCTCCCATTTTGATTGGCTACTAGTATACAAAAGTTATATCCTTTTTATATAAATTGAAATTTTTGTATTCTTTGTAAAATCCGAACACAATGAATTAAAAAATGGGTGCATTACACTGTAATATTTTCGATTATTTTTAAACATATAATTTAGTTAAATTCCCAATTGCGTTATTGCCTTGAACACGGTTTGACCCTTATAAAAGGACAGCCCGCGCTGAATAACACCGGTATCATGCGATACACCGAGGTGCATCGACTTCATTCGGCGCAGGCAGTGGTGTGACGCAATAACGCAATTGCGTTAACGCAATGAGTTGGCGCAATAGAGTGCGCCGGAGTTAGTGTATCAACGCAAGGAATTTTAGTGCGTTACCCATGTCTAAATCATATCTTAACTTCACGGGTCCTCGCTTTGCCGCAAGGGAGGGGTTTTCAGTTTAATGATATGACCCTACTGCCAAAGGTACAGGTATATATGCCATGTTGTTGAAAGTAGGGGCCATTAAAAACTAACCAAGAAGGGCGAACGCCAAGCTTAATCTAAGTTGTCAGTAATAAACCGTGCCGATAGATGCGTAGCAGCTATGCCTGCCTCGAAACAACTATGTCAAACGGTACCTCGAGATACCGGCCGCCCTCCTAAGTATAGGCTTGCCCGTCTAAGGCGAGGCTCTAGACGGATTGACTTATCTTTCCCCAGGGGACAAATATGGACCTCATAAAAAACAATTTTTTCACACACTTCTACTACTGAACAGGTAAATGTGCCGCCAGCAGTAGTCGAACAAGAGCAATCTCAAGCAGAAGTACCAGAGATAGTGAAACAGGCTACACCTCCGAAGATGAGATTGTCATGATAGACATAGAAGTCAGATTCTTTGTCATCTCTGGTCGAACAAAAACAAGGCTAAACAACTTGGTTAAATGTGGCCGACTTTATTACTGCCAAAAGAGGCATAATTAAAGAAAACTTCGTCAGATCCCAAGAAAAGCCACCGACAACTTTCGCTACCGAGGCGATACAGATCGATAAGAAGACCACAAAAAGGCCAAGATCAGAATGCAACACTCCCCCTGCATATCGAAAAGTGGGAAAGAAGGGTTAACCCTCAAAGATGACTTTACCACTACAAAGATTTCAGTAGTGAGAACCGACTTCCCGGATGCACTTATGGAAACCGAGCAGCAAAAAACTGTCGAGAAATCCATCATAAATGCCTACGAAGGTATAACAATAGGAGGGCCACAGGTGCGTTTTACCAAATGCATACACGATGTGCAGCTGGCCATAGTGCACAATAGTTAAAGGATGTGGTCCCCACCCTAAAACCCTGGGAGACTCTGGAGGACCACGATATCCCTAAATCAAAAATCTGTACAACGTACATAGCATACTAGGGTGGAAAGAGGCTAGACTTTCAAAGAGTCCTCAACAGGCTGAGGGTAAGCAATAACACCCTTAAAATCGACCTCTGGAAGGTTCTGACCCCACCTCGAACGGAGAAAGGCCAAACTTGGGCCATTTCGTGGACCTCCGATTAAACACTTTTTTTAAATGGAAATTAATTTGATTTAACACTAATACATTGTTAACATAGAAACATACACTTTTCACATTATTTACAAATACTTTTTTCTCGGAAATTTATTGACTTAAGCCATGTTGCTTAAATTACTTTATATTTTTTATAATGACGGGCACAGCGTCCCATTCCATCACAGGAAACGCGTGTGGTGTCGTTAACTGGTAGATACACAGTTTAGATGATGAATCGGACGAGTGAGCTTAAGGCTAACGTCGTAATTTTTAACCAATGAGGACGGGATGACGCTCAAAACGTACATCTATCAACAATGGATGCAAAAAGAGTCTCAGGAATGGTGGAACAACTATCCAAGATTGAGACAAGCCAAACAGTTCATCAAGGAACCATCGATCGGCCAAGTTCATGAAATACCTACTAGATCAGAAACGTCAAATCTTCTTATAGGACACTTTTGTCTAAAAAGACACATGAGTGTAAATAATCCAGCAGAAGAAGCAAAATTGTGCAGATTCTGTGAAGAAATATTAATCCACCTGCTGTGCCAGTGTAAAAGCCTGAGTAAATTTAGATTTCTATTATTAGGCGAAGAAAAGCCAGACGCATGGAAGCCACTATTAAAGCTACTAAGTCCAATAAAAACGACCAAGTTAGACGACATACTCTAAATAACCAAGTCCTACAAATAATGTCCAACTTCTTTCAAATCTAATCTAATCTACTTTGAATAAAACTAAAAATAAAAAATCAAAATTTATTAATTATTCATATATATTTTACATAAAATATTATAACACAGGAAACATCACTTTAACGATGTAATTCTTGAAGAAACATCATGCATACCAGCATTTCTCAACATTCCAGAGAAATAACCATTTTCATTTTTTAGTAAATTTAGAGGTGTATCAAATTCTGCAACTCTACCTCTATCTAAAACTAATATTTTATCACAATCTAAAATCGAATCTAACCTGTGGGCTATTATAAATAGTGTACAAGATAAGAAGTTGTCTTCAATAATTTTTTGGGCAATTTGTTCAGATTCGGGATCCATATTTGCTGTTGCTTCGTCTAAAACAACGATCTTATTTTTTCTAATAATAGCTCTACTTAAACATATCAGTTGTCTTTGTCCAGTACTAAAATTAAGCTCAGTTATATCAGTGTCTAAACTAGGAATGCTGCTATCTAAATGAACTTTATGTAATGCCTTCCAAATGTCTTCGTCTACAAACTCCCCGAAAGGGTCAATGTTACTTCTAATTGTTCCAGAAAACATTATAGGGTCTTGAGGTATGATCGATATATGTTTTCTTAGGAAATCTAATGCCAGAGTTTTAAGTTCGATCCCATCAATGAAAATTTGTCCTTCGTAATTATACAATCTGAAATTAATTTATTTTATTAGCTACTCCTTATAAATCACTATAAAAACATATAATTGTAATATTAGTGTATTTCTATGAAAAAAATAGATAAATTCTATGAAAATTCCCAAATACATTTTTCAAAATTGTCTTTACGAAACTATTTTATTAATCTAAGATCCAAAATAAGGTCGACCTTTACCCATCTGTTTAATGGATGAAACTTTCTTTTTATTAAATAAAATATGTTTTTAAATAAACCGCAAATGGGTTGCCTAAGAAAATTCGGTCCAGACTATTTATTTTCTTAAAGTAAAAAAAAAACGACACCCTGTAAAGTATTCTCCAAATGCTTTGATTGTGCCCAAACTTTAATCAGCTCATCGCAAGATAGATTAAAGCTTAAGTTCATAATTTGGTGTTTTTCTCTTCATCCGTTTTTGAGTTATCTTCAAAATTCATATAGAGACAAAATAATAGAGAATGACATCATAGGCAACTGTTATCATGATTCCTATACTTTCCTTATCTGTACACAGAGGAAAGTAAAAAATGGTCGTGATCGTATTTTCTTAGGCAACCCATTTGCGGTATATTTAAAAACATATTTTATTTAATAAAAAATAACTTTTATCCATTAAACAGATGGTTGAAAGTCGACCTTACTTACGGATCCTGGACTATATTAAAAAACTGAAAAAACTAAAGCAGGAAAAATTTGAATTCTCCACATTTACGTTTTACACACGCTGTCTTATCAACGCGTCTATCAGGACGTTAGATATTTGGAATCCGAGTTGTCAATTTGTATATTAGATTTGAATTTCACCCGGTGACAGAATATTCTCAATTTTTCAATAAACCACTCATGCCAATATTTCACTTTACGGAACTTTGGCCGCTCTTGGGATACTTTTCACTCTTTGGTTCTGTATATAAGTGAGTCACTCTGCCATACTTCTGTTCTTCTCCTACAAGTTTTCGTGTTTATTCGCCGCTTCAGTTATTTTTCTCCATTCCATTGAATTTATTATCTTCGCTCCATCCACCAATCCCTATCTTATGTATGTCCTTTTAATTTGGTCTTCCCAACGAATATTCGGTCGTACCCTAGGTCTATTATTCTGTGGCTACCATTTAATTATCTTTTTAATTCATGATTAATTTCCATTTTTTTGTACGTGTGCGTATTTTCTTTCTTTCTAATATAGCGTTTATTTCTGTGGTCCTACTATTTTTTAATTATTGTTCTTTTGAAAATCTTTAGTCTCTCTTCATCTGCATTAGTTAGGCACATTGTCTATCCTGCGTATATCACTACTGGCTTTACGGCGATTTGAAATACTTCTCGAATTTTGTCTTTTTACTTAACTTCTTATTCTTCATTATTTACTTATATTTATAATATGCTTTTTGGCCTTCTTGGATTCTTTCCCTGTTTTATTTCTATATTCTTGTCGGTTTTATTGTTTATCTTTGTTCACAGATATCAAATTTTTTTATTGTCTCTAATTTATGTTTTTCTATTTTTATTCCTTTTTGTTCTTTCAGTACGTCTTTCCGGCTTATTCTCATGTATTTATTCTTCTTTTCGTTTATTTTCCAATCCTCTTTTTTGCTGTTTTGTTTATGTTGTTCACAGCCTACTCTAGGTTTTTTCTTTCGTGCTATAATTATGCTATTAGTAAAATGAGAAAAACCATAGAAATTCAATTTCCATTATGTAGGTGTTTCATTATTTAAATTCCTGAATTTCTATTATGTTTTTCATAATTTTAATTCATAAATTTCTATTATGTTTTTCATAATAAAAATAAATTTCCATTATTCTGAATTTCTATTATGTATTTCGTAATTTTAATTAATGAATTTCTGTATTTCATAATTGTAAATCGGCAATTTTTATTATGTTTTTTATAATAGTCCATGCAAGTGGTACTTTCTGCCTTACATCAAATGAGGTAGTTCTGAATTTTTTATATGTTGGTAGTGATAAGTTGGTAATGACAAATCCAAATTTTCCATCTCGAAATCCCTTCGGATCATTGTTAAATACTAAAAAATCTTTAAATTTTAGGACTTTTTCAGTTTTTGTCAATTTTACCACCTAGGACCTGTGTTACGACAAAAGTTACTATGTACACTTTTTAAGTAGAGTAAATTTTCAATGAAATAAGAATAATTTGGTTTTGGTAGGCCAAATAGTTTATAAGATACGGCTATTCAAAAGTTTGCAAAATTTCAAAAAAAGGAAGTATTACTTTTTTTTAGATTTCGGCAATTTTTATGGGAAAAGTTACTTTTAAAGTTATTAAAGTTCACTAAATTCCCAATAAAATGAGCGCAATTATGTCAACTTACACCTGATAATTCCTGAGACACAGCTGTTGATGTAAGTAAACAATTATGTACTAGAAGGGTTTGCAAAATGAGGTAGTGAAATAAGCATTATAATTTATTTAAATAAACATTTTACTAATTAAAACATTAATATGAAAAATGTAATGAAACGCCTCATTGTATTTTATGTACAGCACAGTTGTTGAGGAAATAGTTATTACTCGCATTTTTTGTATATTTTTGATGGACCAGGCTCGTCCTCTGAATCCACAGCACACCTTTTAGGGGCAGCTTGCTAAAGTAGAATTTCTTCATCGAACTGCTCAGAAAGGTTGAAATCGTCATTTGATGGTGTGTCATCAATTAATGGTTCATCAACGTCGCCACACATCAGCTCTTGTCTGTTCTCGCAAGATTGGCCAGTGCAGTAGCTACAAACAGCCGAGCATTTCAGTCCTGCTTTCCTGCAACCACAACTGCTGATACAACCTTTTTTGCAGTTATAGAAAATCATATTTAGCAGAGCTTAAGGAGCTGGTGGTGCCATCATCTGTTGAGGAACGAGACCTTGTGTACTCCGCATCCAGCCCCAATCAAGAGGATTTCCCAGCCACTTCTGTACCTGAAACAAAATCAACAACAAAATAAGAAACCATGTATAAAGAATGTAGTCTGAAACAGAAAGGAATACAAGCAAAAAACTTATTCTTATCTGGTGGTATATTCCCAGAGAGTGAAATCTTACAGCATCCCTGGTTGGAGGCAATCTGGCGAGGTCCATGTTGCTCTAGTGAACAACTGGAAGCGAAAGTCGCTAAGATTTTGCGATTCTCTGTTGCCTCCATAAAGTGAAACGAGTAAGATCTCTCCTGCGTCGGCAACTTGCTTACGTGTGTTATCGGAGTTTAAGAAAACTTCTGCATTTTGTTCGAGGCGTGGCCGTTTTTTTTTATTGTAGATAAAGAACAGTGTTATTCAGGGTTGTGATAATTGCGTAAACGAATTTATCGAGTAGATGACATCTGGGTTTTTTCCTCTTCCATATTATACAAATATAATATTATTATTTGATCTGTTTGTTGGGAGGATGTGGTCTTCTACATCTCGTGACAAAGCACACAGTAAGACCAACAAATCTATATCCTCGCCGACGATCTTCACTACTTCGTAGGAAGAGGATATAAAAATGGCTGTGGTTACAATTAACCTATCAGCATCTTCCTCTGCCTGTAATGTTAGAATTTTGTTCTTCTGAGGGTGAACCACCAGCAAGTCTATGAGTCTAACTTTATTCCTGTCATTCAATAGGAAGTTATCCTGAGCAACTGAAGCAATGGTTGTTTCATCAAATATAACACCCACGGGGTACTGGCGTTAGCATGTTAGTTCGAGTGTCAAATCGGTGACACAAGTTTTTGTTGTATTGTTTCTTCCGTGATATTAGTTGCAAATAAAAGTAAAAACAGAACACACTTTCAGTAAAATCTACCAAATAACTAACAAAATTGTAATACTTCCTTTTTTTAAAATTTTGCAAACTATCTGGCCTACCAAAACCAAATTACATAATTGTTTACTTACCTCAACAATTTTGGACAGCTATGTCTCAGGAACTATCAGGAGTAAGTTAACATAATTGGTCTTATTTTGTTGGGAATTTAGTGGACTTTAATAACTAAAAAAAGTAACTTTTTCAATAAACCCACTGTAATACTTTTTTTGAAATTTTGCAAACTTTTAAATATCCGTATCTTAAAAACTATTTGGCCTACCAAAACCAAATTATTCTCATTTAATTGAAAATTTAGTCTACTTAAAAAGTGTTAATTGTAACTTTTATCGTAACGTAGGTACTTGGTGGTAAAAATTTACAAAACGGAAAAACTCTTAAATTTTAATGAATTTTCAAATATTTGACTGTGATCCGAAGGGCTTTCGAGGTGGAAACCTTAAATTTGTCATTGCCCATTTCATCACTACCAACTCATAAAAAAATTAGAACTACCTCATTTGATGTAAGGCAACACTTCTTTTTTGGTACGATTTCTATGTACTATAATGGAAATACGTGTATTAAAATTATGAAATACATAATTTTAATTCTTTAACAGAATAATTAAAATTTTGGAAGAAAAGATTATTTTTTTCTTGCTTTTTTAAACGATGTTATTAAATACTAAAACGACACGTCATATTACTAGAGCCTCTATAAGATCTTAATTAAGTCTTGCATCTTTCTCTCTCTTTTCTTCCTTATTAGTACCTATGTGTTTTATCAGGTTTTCTCTTGTTTGTTCTGGTAGTGTCTATATTATTTTGTGTGCTCGTTTGTGCTTGAATTTCGTTCTCGATATTACTAGATTAATTTTTGTTGCTAATTGATACATAATCTTATTCCATTGTCAGAAATTATTTTTTTTTTCAGCTACCTCATTTGGGAAAACTTCCTTACCAATTTTGGCAATAAAATCTCCTGTGTCGTGATTTAAGTATTCATTATTTCGTAGGAGTAAAAATTAATTTGGAAATTTTTAAAGAATTTATCTACTTTATTTTCGGAGCGTATATAATAGTTTTTCGGAACTTTACACCGATTCCATCACGATTTGTTGTTTGATTTTGTGACACAAATATTTAAATTATTGTTTTTTTTGTATCAAGGGACTATTCTGATTTTGTCACCTAATATCTATAGCACAAAGTTTTAAAGAATATTAGACTTATTAGACATATTATGATAAAATTGAGGAACGTTTACGTTATCCGTAACGTACATGTTGGGCCGAATTTTAAAAGTAACGAGGCAAGTTCGTATGATGTAAACCTGTTAAATTAGAACGTAACAGGCGGAAAATAACAGTAATGTGTTGGAAAAAGTTTTCCATAAGTTTTCCATCTTACGAACTTGCCTTGTTACTGTTAAAACTCGGCCTAACATGTACGTTACGAATAACGTAAACGTAGCCAGGGTCAGTCACTATTATCGCCGCTCTTATTTTGACATCTGAGCATGCGCAGATCGTTTACGTTTTAGAACTGACTTCATTAAAGTTTGGGCCTGTCCTGAATTATGTATGTTTAAGCAGCAGATAGTGGCGACTGTATAGCTTTCTGTTGAGCTCGCCGATATTCGTATCAGTTCGAAGTTTTTTAATGTTAAATATTTAATATCATCGTCATCTAAACCTTCTGAAATGGTAATTTTTAATGCCTCTTCCACATTATGTACTATTATAGACAATAAAAAAGAAGGACTGATTTAAAAATTTTGAAATGAGGTTAGAAATATGTATAAAGACTAGGATTCTAATGTCAAAACTTCATGTTTGCAATAAGTCTTATTTTAGCATGGAATTTATTTGACTCTAATTACCAGAGATAAGATCTCTGCTAATTACGTTGTCACTATTAGTGACTGACATTTGCACTATCTCTGTAATCTTTATTGATAAAATAATTGGAACAATAATATACTCAGATAGCAATTTATGTTGTGTGAGCCATTTTCGACCAGTCAGCAGAGAAACGACTCGAGTTGAAAGCGTGCAGCCATATTTAAATCCGTGCTACCTGCAGCCCTTTGACCAGCACAGATCGTTATTATCGCTACCGTCTCGAAAATATCAGGTATATCTCTGCCGTATTTAAGCCTTTTACAGCCTCCACTTTTTTCATACCATCAATATTTGATAAAATAAGTCAACCTCAGAAATCCCTCTCTATAGGGTCCCAATGGTCTCCATTAGTTGAATCATTCATTCTAGAAAATACTGAATCCGTGGCGAAGATCATAGAGGCATCGATTTTGGTGAATGCGCTATTTTATTCGTGATTTGGGTTGCCAGACGTGCTGCTTTAGGCCAAATTGTCCCACTTCAAGCGTAATTGTCCTGCATTTTCACTTGCTGACACGCGTCACACCAAAGTACGAAAACGTTCTGACCTAAATGCCTCACTTTTTACTCAAATGCCACAGGAAGATCTGGTTTACAAAAATATTAGCAAAGGACCTTTTTTTGGAAATTTTATAAGATAAAGAACCTGATTTTATAAATATACGTCGTTTTTTAATCTGGTTTCCTGTCATCACCGCTGTTCCGCTATGGCCTTTTGTAAATCTGGCAACCCTATTCGTGATGTATGTTTTAGCCTTTCATTTCGGTGACACCATAGTTTTTGTTCGTGTTTATTTCTGATTCTTGAATTAAACGACATTTAATAATTGGTTTATTACAATGGTTTATTGTGTGGCATATCAGTGTTAATGTTATAGCGGCAAGAAATAAGCAGATATTACGTTTTACAGGTAAATGTTAAACATTAATCGTTTTCACTTTATATATTTTTCATTTTATTTGGTGTAATACAACTTGGTATTTACATATTGTACATGTCTCACTTCAGAGTAATAAATTTTACCCACCAATTTGTTTATTTTATGCTTTTCATTGATATTTAAGCAATTAATGATATTAAAATGGCAAAACATGTAATTTTTTCCAGTTAAATATTAACTTTTATTAAATCCTAATTTACTTTTGCTTCTTATTTAATTGCAGCAAGGTTTATTTGCTGTTTTTTGTTAGATTCCCTGTGGATCCAGCAAAAAAATCTTTGGATTCAAGCAATGAAAATTGCAAATTGGATGCTTACGCCAAATGATAGTGTTCAAAACATTTTAAAAATTTTTTTTTTTAATGTAAAAAAACGTTTACTAAATAGAGCAGTTCCCACTATATTTCCTGAATTCTCTAAATACATGCAGCCGAAGAAGGTGCGTATACTAATAAACATAATTAAACATATATATTTTTTTAATTACTTTTCATTATTATGTTATGAACTTTTAAGAATTTAGCAACCCTTCTGTATATAATTCAAAACATTACCGTAATAATTGATTGTTTGTAGTACTTAAAAAGAAGAGCATTTCATTTGGAGGCTGAGCCAGGCCTTTCAAATAGAACTTCAAATAAGGAATCTATCGTAGCAAGCCCTAGCATAAAACGGCTTAGAAGACAACTTTTACAACAGGTAGAAAAGAATAAAGAAAAAAACAAGACAAATCAAAGTTCTTAAAGTTAAGGGTCAGTAATAAAGGACCCCGCACAAAAAGATAGGAAATGCACTCTCGGTCAAATTGTCTGAATTTTTAATGTGTTATACATTTTGTCATCCTGAACAAAAGTCTCAATGGGCACTAAGCTCCAAAGTCCATGGTTTGGCTCCTATGGAGCTCTGAAGCTCCGTGACTCCACCATAGTATAGAAACCTCTAAAACGCATGTCACCTTTTTGAAAATCATATTTTAATTATTTTAGTGTATGCCATTAAGTTTTTGAGGATGCTGAATTTGAATATGATGTCAAATCGATAATATTGACAGTTGACAGCTGTCAAATAGCTGTCAAATGCTTCAAAGAAAAACAAATCTTATATTAAAGAATGTTATCATATGTCTTGAGGACGCTGAATTCAAATAAGATGTCAAATCGATAATATTGACAGTTGACAGCTGTCAAATAGCTGTCAAACGCTTCAAAGAAAAACAAATCTTATATTAAAGAATGTTATCATATGTTTTTGAGGACGCTGAATTCAAATAAGATGTCAAATCGATAATATAAGATTAATATAAGATTTCCCTTGTTTTAAAGCATTTGACAGCTGTTTGACAGCTGTCAATTGCCAATATTATGGATTTGACATCATATTTCAATTCAGTATCCTCAAAAACTTAAGGGCATACATTAAAATAATTAAAATATGATTTTCAAAAAGGTGACATGCGTTTTAGAGGTTTCTATACTATGGTGGAGTCACGGAGCTTCGGAGCTCCATAGGAGCCAAACCATGGACTTTGGAGCTTAGTGCCCATTGAGACTTTTGTTTAGGATGACAAAATGTATAACATATTAAAAATTCAGACAATTTGACCGAGAGTGCATTTCCTATCTTTTTATGCGGGGTCCTTTATCTTCATTTATGTATAATTTTTTTTACTAGCTTAATTTAATAATATCTAGAGAGCACACTACATCTTAAAGACGACCAGTTCATGTCTTACTTTCGTCCAAACGTCCTAGTACGTAAAATGGGCGGTTTTAAGACGCCCTGCTCAGGACATGTTTAAAACATCTTTTTTGGGATGTTTTTGAGACGTTTTAAATATGTCGGTTTAACTCTTCTCGCTATATTTGAATATGGCGCCACGACAACGTTCTTGGCGCTGCCTGCAGCGCATGTAGATCGTCATTCGTCATTGGCTAATTGGAGTCTCGCGCGCGCATATCGAGTCGTGTTCTTCCTCTAGCTGCCTTCTTCTGGGGACAGCGATTGTATAATATTTTTAGAGTCAGTCTGTTAACATTGTCATTACTTTTTTGTGGTTGTGTGTTTTTATATATTGTCTTTTTATATTATTTATTTGCCATTATTGGAACTGTGGTATACCGGAACTAGTAAACTTTATCATTAAAAACGGTAACTTTTAAATTATTTGCCTTTTAATATCATAACCTCACTATAATAATGTCTTATTTTTTAGAAAAACACCTTAAAATAATAACTTATTTATGTTTAATGTGTTGTTAGATATTGTTAAGATAAATTGTCAAAGTAATTTAGTATATAATTGTTTAAGATATAAATCAGTAAAAATAAATTAAGTTGTGAAATACCATAGTATAAATTGTAAATATAAATTAAATAAATAACCTGTTTAAATAAATAAACGTTAGATTTACCTAAACAAAGTTGATATAATTGTAGACTTTCCAGCTCCAGTTCTACCCACAATACCAATTTTGTTTCCGGGCTTTACATCAAAACAAACATCTGCCAGAATATTTTCATTGGAATTAGAATATTTAAGCGAAACATTTTTAAATATTATTTCTCCTCTATTTGGCCAATCAACCATTTCCAAACCGGTTTTATTTTCATTTTCGATGGTAGTATATTCCATGACTCTTTCGAATGAGGTCATATTGTTCTCAACTTCTGACCAAGTCGATAAACCGAAATGGATAATCATGGTCAACAAACCTGCTTGCGTCAGAGTTAATCCAGCATCTCCAGCGTTAATACCTGAAAAAGTAAATTTGTTTGCCTATCTATAATTTATAAAATTGTGATTGTTGTTTACCTGTATCAAAAAAGAAGAATCTAGCAATAACCGTAACCAAAAAGAATAAAGACGAAATCTCCATAATAAACCCGAAGGCTCCTCTAATACATAGCGACGTATAAAAAGCACTAGTATATAGATCTTGATGTTTGTCGAACTCGTCTTTCAAAATATCTTGAGCTTTATAAGCTCTTATGGTAGTTAGACCTTCCATTGTGGAATTTAAATGTCCTACTATTGGACTACGTGCTAAAAACTTATCAGATGAAAGTACTGAATTGGTCGAAAGATTAAATTACTTACTGGCAGCCTCTAAACGTTTTAAACTCCTGGAAGTTTTGATGTAAACAGTCCGAACTAATATTGAAAAGAGAGCCAACCCAGCTGCCGGGATTATAAATTTCCAATTCACGGAAGCAATCAATCCGATTACTCCGACTAAGTGAAATAGAGTCTGAAATAGTAAAATTTTTGACCATTGAATTTAGAATTCCAACAAAACTGTTAAAAGTTATTCATACATTTTTTTTAATAAACTTCCGATTATAGGTTATAGTCTGGGAGCCAATGAACATTTTTGGTACTTATTTTTGCAGTAAGTCTTAAATTAGGAAGTAACTATTTCCGAAATCGATGTATATTTCGACCCCGGAATCCCGAATCGTTGATCGAAATCCCACAATCATCATCGAAATAGCATTCGAAATCTCGTGCAATCAATATGCAATAACTAAATCCCGCAATCATCGTTACATTATCAATTTAGAATCGAGTGGAGCATACCCAATGTGACAGATTGCGCTTGTGTGAACACATGAGGTCTTGTACTATGGCAGAAGCAGAAATTGGAAAGGCTTTGGTAGGTTGAGAGGGGGTAAACGTCAAACCACGTTGGAAGACTTCGAGAATTTCGTAGTAATGTTTACTTGCCAGTATCGTTTCATAGAATAAGTAATTGTTACCGGCGGAACCGGACAATCGCACCTATTTATGGCCTATAAATAATTATTAAACATGTATTATAACATCCAAATCATAATTCTACAAAATTTCAACAGCTATTCACAATTTATTAAACTATTTACTCGAAATTGTTATTAATATCAATAAAATAATTTTGTACGCCAGCGTATCGCGTCCACTTCGGTTAAATCCGCCGCAAACCTGTCCATTTATGTGTATAAAGTGCGAGAACTGGCAAAAGCCTTTCCAACTTCTGCCCCTGCTATAAGTTTTGATCACTGTTGCCAATCGGCAAAAAATTATTCGCTTTCCGGAAAAGAGAAGATTCGGAGAATTTTACTGAGAAGATAATTTAACGGAGAATATCAATTTTTTCAAATTATTCAAATTCCCTAGGATATTTTGATGATTCAATCGTCTTTAACTAACACTTTTTCTTTTTATAAGAAAAAACCGCTAGTTATATTACACTAAGCGGAGAACCTTGTGTGTTTTCGGTGAATTTGGTTATCTGTCGCCGGAGAATTAAGAAGAAGCTTGTAACACTGGTTTTGATTATAATGAACATTTTAGTTCAATCATAATAATATTTAATGTTGGTTGGTGCTCAAGTGAAAATTTAAAAACTAATTACTATCAGTTTTATTTAATTTCATTTTCCAAAATAGACTTAACTTGTCCAAAAGAAAATAAATGTGTGGATATTCTACTAGTACCAGTATCAGTATTCAATATAGGCGAAATAAAATTGTACTTCGAATGAACTTGGAAGTTTTGGTTGAATAATCTATGAAGTTAACTAGTTTCTTTTTAAATAAAACCCATTAACTTCTAATACCTATACTTGTCATACTAAGCAAAGTAACACGTAAATGATAAATAATTTCTCCATCGGTTATATATCCAGCAACATAACTATTTTTAATGTATGATTAATACAATAGATTCGTATAATCCATAAAATAAACTCTAAAAAGTTAATAGTTAAATATACAAACATTTTTAAAAAATCGAAATCATCCGCAAACATTCGCAATCATCTGAAATCTTCCGCAATCAATCCGAAATCATTGGGATTTCCGAAATTGATGTACATTTTTGCTATAGTAGTTAACTCCTCGGTGTCTTAAATGACATTTTTATAGGGTGACCATATCTATTTTCACCCAATGCTGGACGCTGAACGACATGAAATTCAACATTGATGAACTTTGGAGAGGCGAGGACCATTTTTTTAGCTCTGCATTACGTTTTTGTCTTATTTTTTAGGTTTCAGTAAATTATTTATTACATTGTTGGACGCTAGACAATAAAATACAGCGTTTTGGTGGACAAATATGACGTTTTTGTGGATAAATAGGGCGTTTTGCTGAGAATGCTGGACATACTCGGAAAATGCTGTATAATACAGCGAAATGCTGTATATATGATAACCCTACATTTATAGTATATTTCAATAATAAAGTAGATAAAACTATTCTGAAAATAATCAAGGAACTTAATCAAACCATGTAATTCCTGGAGGTACGTCTATGACCAGCTGTAGCCTATTATTCTAACAAACAATAACAGGTAAATACATTTTTTCTACACCCACGTGATTATTAACTTATCTACGCATAGACTACAAAACGAAAAAATATGAAATTACGTTCAACTGAACGAATATATTTTATATACATTCTAGTGCTGAGATCGGGTGGAAAACTCAGTAAAGTTAGCGCAGGAGCAAATTTTGGTTACGTGGCATCGGAGTTAATCTTAAATAAATTGATGTGGATTGTAAAATTTGCAATGTAGAATTGATTTTGACGTTATTCTTGAAATACTCGTATACTATAGATTACATTAATGATTCTTTTCAACACATTATATGTTTGGCTATATATTTATATTGGATTGAATCAGGATAAGCTATAAAGGTTTTATTTTTCAAATAAGAAAGTGTTTTTGCATTGATAAAAGCGACAGTGCTTTAGAATAATATTGTAAAAGTTAACAAATAAGCAGTCTGGAGAATCCTAGATTATGAAAACTCAGTCTGGCACGGATTTATCTGGCACGTATTTATTAAAAACAAAAAATTCTCTGCTTTTATATTTCCAATGCTGAAAATTTGATTGTTTACAAAATTTAAATATACAGGGTGTCTGTAAAAGGTCTTTACAAAAACATACCACATATTCCTTAGACCAAAATAGGTCGATTTAAGTAAAATTACCTTAGTACAAAGTTGCTTCGTTTGGGCTCCAGAGGGCCTTGAAGTTACAATTTTTAAATCGTTTTTCCCATATAAATTTAAAACGGCATATGCGATTTTGCTGAAATTTGGTATATTGGTAGAGTTTTATGTGGCAAAAAAAGGTATTAAAATTTTGTCCGATAATAATACATAGGCGTAGAACTTGATTTTTTAAATAATTGCACCTTTAAAAATTCTACGCCAATGGAAGAAAAGGAGTTTAAGTATCAAATTTGGATTGCGCAACTCATTTACTTTAAAAAAAGGTACTCTTGATAAGACTCGATTACTCTCATTGTTTTGACGAAATTTGCATTTTAGTAATTTTAGAACATAAACAATAATTATTAAAATACAGACTTTGTCAAAACCATGAGAGTAAATCGAGTGTTATCAAGGGTACTTTTTTGTAGTAAATGAGTACCCAATCCAAATTTCATACTCAAACCTCATTTTTGCCATTGGCGTAGAATTTTTAAGGTGCAATTATTTAAAAAATCAAGTTCTACGCCTATGTATTATTATCGGACAAAATTTTATACGATGAAAAACATAAAAATGTACTTTTTTCATATCTTCTTCAACACCTCTAATCAAGACTTTTAACAAAAATACTCGATTCTTGCCATGTACGATTTTTTGAGGAATATTAATTATTTGCCTGCAATACGTATACAAAAACATTTGTTGTTGGTTTCCATAGTTTCATCTAAATAAAAATATTGTCAAGTTTTAACACCTAATCTCTTGTTAACGATTGAAAGTGTTCTATTTGACTCAATAATTAAAAAAACAAATGCGTGGTTTATTAATATGGCTGTACAATATACCAATGCAGAATATACCGATATGTTACTGACATTAGGATTTTGTGAAGGAAATGCTCAAGAGAGTGTCAAGGTGTACTCTGAAAGGTTTCCAAATCGTCGTGTACCTAGCCACCCAACTTTTGCTGCTGTTGAGAGACGTCTTCGGGAGACCGGTTCCTTTGCTCCCAACACTATTGATAATGAAAGAGAACGTTTTGTAAGGATTCCTGAAGTTGAAGAAGACATTTTAGAACATGTTGAAGAAGATCCAGAATTAAGCACCAGATGAATTGGAAGGGAACTAGGACTAAGTAAAGATGTCGTTCATAAAGTGCTTAAAGAACAATTGCTATATCCATACCATAAGAAGCCAGTACAAGAATTATTAGTCCATGATCCTCAAATTCGTTTGGGTTTTTGTCGATTTGTTAATATGCAAAGAGAAAGAGATCCAAACTTTGTCAAGAAGGTTCTCTTTACCGATGAAGCGGGTTTTACAAGATGTATAACTAATACCCATAATTAACATGTTTATGCCGTTGAAAATCCGCATGCAATAAAGGTAAATCATTTTCAGCACGAATTCAAAATTAATGTGTGGGCTGGAATAATTTGTAATTTCATTGTTGGTCCTGTCATACTTCCACGAAGATTAACTGGAGAAAATTATTTGGATATTCTACAAAATACCTACGTTGCCAGAGTTGTTAGAAGATTTACCTCTCCAACTTCGGAGAGATATGTGGTTTATGCAAGATGGAGCTCCACCACATTTTTCTTTAAACGTTAGAAACCACTTGAATGAACAATATACACACAAATGGATAGGCAGAGGTAATGACGCACCTGTAAACTGGCCACCACGTTACCCAGACCTAACACCGATGGATTACTTTTTATGGGGACATCTGAAATCCACAGTTTACAGGGAACCTGTAGAAAATGAGGAACAACGTATTCAAGATGCAATAAACAATCTTAGAGGTGATGAAGAAGTTATGGAAAGGGTACATTTTAATTTTCTTCGACGTATAAATCTTTGTATGCGTGAGAAGGTGAACATTTTGAACAATTTTTGTAAAATCTCTGTTTTGATTATGTTGTAAATAAATATTTTTGTGAAACCTATACACTCTAAATTATTAAAACAGAAATTTAGCGAAAACCATGAGAATAATCGAGTCTTATCAAGAGTACCTTTTTTAAAATAAATTAGTTGCGCAATCTAAATTTCATACTCAAACTCCTTTTCTTCCATTGGCGTATAATTTTTAAAGGAGCAATTATTTAAAAAATCAAGTTCTACGCCTATGTATTATTATCGGACAAAATTTTAATACCATTTTTTTGCCACATAAAACTCTACCAATATACCAAATTTCAGCAAAATCGCATATGCCGTTTTAAATTTATATGGGAAAAACGATTTAAAAATTGTAACTTCAAGGCCCTCTGGAGCCCAAACGAAGCAACTTTGTACTAAGGTAATTTTACTTAAATCGACTTATTTTGATCTAAGGAATATGTGGTGTGTTTTTGTAAAGACCTTTTACAGACACCCATAAGAGTCGGGGTGTTATTCACGTCACCGAAGCAGTAATGCTTCGGTAACGATGAATATGGATGTGCACCTTACTATTATGGGTGAATCCTTAGTTGATTATTTTTTTAAAGTGTGCATAAGTCGATAAAATAAATATCTTTCTTAAATAATTTTCTTTTTTTGAATAAGGAAGATAAATAAATAAAAAAATTAAGTCCGAGCCTAGAATACTGTTAAATGAGGAGTCTATGTTTTATCGGTTTTTATTTTTTGTGTGAATTATGTGCCAGCTACTGTAAGTTACGCGGCAGAAATCCCTACACCGGAAGTAACAAAACCAGGTGACATAAAATGCTTGCAACGGTATTTTTTATTGTTATAGACGTCTAGAAGTAAATTATTTCATTGCAAGCAAAAAACGAAAAAATTCATCGATAAGTAGGTAACTTTACTTTGTATTTGACAGGTTACACAACAGCTTCCACCACTGGGACATAGTACATGTTGTTAACTCTCCTCTACTGTACACTAATAGCAAGCAAAAAATACGTGCCACTTTTTGCAGTCACATGAGGGATTATTTTTAACGTAAAATCCGTTGCGATTCCTCAAATTTTTACTAATGCAGTGCAATATTTTTGTATGAATTTTTGAGCTGCCGCCAGACTTAAATTCCATCAAACAAACTGTTTTTCTACTGATTTTTATAAATATATTACTAGTACACCAAAAAAATATATTTTCGATATGTTCTACCCGTTAAAATCCTTACATCCACACTTCATATTTTAAATCCGTTACTTTTAAAGATCTAGTTAATTAATGGTTTATATGCTCCATCCTGTATATCTATAATATATTCTTTACTTACAAGTAACCAGTGAGCCGCAAATTTTGTTCTAGAATCAGCCATGGAGTAAATAACGCATATGTGAGCTTATAATTTAATTTTCTTTAATTTAAATTTTCATTTATAGGCGTGTGTAGTAATCACATATATGATTCGTATTTTTGTTATTGTCGGTGATGACCTAATATAGAACTTGTCTTTAAGAACAAAATATTTTACTTTCAACTCTTTATTGTATGTTTTGTGAAATTATTGATGCTTTATTTATACAGGAATAAGTTAATACTTTTTTAACTGTTTTCAAATTACTTTTTTAAAAAAAAATCAAAAATAATAAACTTGCAATAAGTTATTCCAAAATGTATCCAACACACTTCTTGTCTTCTTGTATCGATCATCCTACATCTGTTTTACAAAAAATTGTAAAACAGATAAAAAAACGTAAACAAATTTCTCATTTAAATTAATTTTTGATACACAATTCCAGACCCTCATTTAGATTTATTATTTCTGTATCTTTCTTTAATTTTGTTAAAGTTATTTAAAAAATATGTTCATTTTAACGACTTCTAGAAACAGTTAATAAAGTATCAACATAGAATTATGACTCACCCCAATAAACGCTGTCATAACGAATATCAAATGTTCGTCAATAACATTCAAGTCCTGAGAAAATCTGTTCAAAATATTACCGATGAAGAAACTATCGAAAAACGTCATCACTGCATGCAATGCTCTTGTGACCATTATCTTATGAATATTGATAGAAGCTGTTATACCCATTTTCAAAACGAGATAGTGTTTGATCAACTCTGTAACTGCATATCCAATAATAGACATAGTGTATAAGTTCATGGTTTGTGAAGCTTGAATTTCAAGTCTTCCTATTTCTTGAATTATATCAGTTGAAACATTGAAAGTTTCATTTAGGAAAATTGTTGTAGTATTCTCCAAATCAAATTGTTCCAAATCAATAGTTGTATTTTGAATGTATTTTTCTTTAACATGGCTTATATTAGATTTCTGGTTTATCCTAAAACAATTGTTTAAATTGAATATTAATATATACAGGGTAAATCATCGAAAACAAAACGTAGAAGGTGAATTTAAATTATAATGAAAAAACTCATTCCTACTCATCAGTTTGGGTTTAGAAACAAGCATTCAGGAATTGACCAGATTTGCATGAGAGTGGTCTTATTGTTACTAAATAAAAATGTTTAAATAATTAAAATGTATTCAGTCGTCGAAAAATATAATAATATAAAAATAAAGGTTGTTTATCTGGGGTTCGTCGTTTTCTCGTAGTTCTTGATTCTTCTATCTTGTTTTTTGTTTTTGTATCCCCTTCCCAACCGTAATCAAGGTTCAGCGGGAAAATAGGATGCACAAAGGTTATTGACCATAAATACATTAAAACATGACGTCAGTTCCTGCCATTGACAATTGACTAACCTCAAAAATGTTGACCTAACAGCACATACTCTGATTTTCTTTTACTATACGGAGAATGGTCGCACTGCGCAGCTTTCTGGGTGCCTTTTAAAAGGAGATAGAAAACTCCGCCATTTTGAACCCTTATTACGTGTTGCCTACATCTTGGTGCAATATTTTTAATAGGTGCGATTTAATCATCCGCTTCTGCTTCGGAATTGTCGGTTTTCTTGTTTTAATCTGACGGGTTAGAACGAGTGAACCGACAATTCCGGAAGCAGAAGCGGATGATTAAAACGCATCTGATCTTAGAGCATATAATAGCATCTGATATTTTGCTTGCTGCTGTCAGTGTCAGTGAATATTATTTTTGAAGTCACAGTTTATTGCTAAAGAATCAGTTAGCTCACTCGGACCAGTTGAAAGTTCCAAAATAACATCCACTCCAGGGATACAAATTCAGGATACGCAGAAGACTGCTGTTTTATTATAGGCGGTTGTCATATATTGTATTATCCGAGTTGCACAGTGTATAAACTGAAACATTGAGATCAAAAGTGCCGACACAGAGTGAGCGATCTGATTCTTTAGCTGTAAACTGTGTCACAGGGTTCAAAATGGCCGCGTCCTATGTTGGGCGTGTCGGACCTCTCTCTTGCCTCGTATTTATTTTTATTTATTTTATTTATTTATTTTGTTTGGAACACAAACAGGACATACCCAAAAAAGTGTTCCCAATGCTTCTTACATAATGGGTTTAAACTAAACAACTTTAACCTAATTAATAACAAAATATTATTACACTAGATACGAAATAAATGTGAAATAAGAGAACAGAAAAAATACTAAAGTTATTGCATTATAACAGAAATTCAAAAATTTTACATTAAAAAATATGTCGTAATTTAAGATTTTAAGGTACACTAGACAAAAAGTGTTTTTTTAAGCAATTTTTGAATGCACTTTCGGAAATAGAAAAAATATCAACTTCTAGTACGTTCATTATTGTGTCGAGAGTTTTAATACACCTATGTAAAGGAGAATTTTTAAAGTAATTAGTATTACTTGTATCTGAGTAAAACAAATTATTGCTTCGGGTATTATAAAAAGAAACGTTATAATTAATCATGCTATTAATGGGAATTGAATTTACTAAATTGTTACAAACTTTATATGTAAAAGTAATGTCTGTAATTTTCCTTCTGTTATAAAGTGGAATTAGGTTCATTTTATGTTGCGTAAATGTTAAGTCTTCTGTATATTGTGAAAGGGTTTTTTTATGAACAAATTTTATAAATTTATATTGTATATTTTCCAAACAGTTAATGTAGACATTATATTGCGGATTCCAAATAACCGAACCATAGCTTAATACGCTATTAACGTATGCCATATAAAGTGAACGAAGAGTGTTTATATTTGTAAAATCAAAAGAAGAACGCATGATAAATCCCAGCATTTTATTTGCCTTATTTGTGACATATTCTATGTGTTGGTTGAATAACATTTTTGAGTCAAAAATTATACCTAAATCCTTAATATCAGATACAGAGTTAATATTTAAGTTATACTGAAATTTTATCAGTTTAATATTGCGACTAAAGCTTATTTGGAAGCATTTATTCAGGTTTAAAAATAAACTATTATCTTGACAGTATTTATAGAGTCGGTCAAGGTCATTTTGTATTAAGACACAATCAGCGATATTATTTATGGTGTGGTAAATTTTTAAATCGTCAGCATACATAAGAAAACGTGCAGATTTAAAGCAGGTTGATATATCATTCACATAAATATTAAACAAGAGGGGTCCAAGATGGGAGCCCTGCGGGACTCCGGAACAGACTTTTGAATAAGACGATAAACAGTTACCGACGGATACAGCTTGGCAACGGTCACTGAGGTAAGATAGAAACCATTTCAGAAGGTTTCTATCTACACCAACTTCAGATAATTTTTTTAATAAGATACCGTGATCAAGTTTATCGAAAGCTTTGCTGAAATCAGTGTAGATAGAATCCACCTGAAGTCTGTTGTTTAGATTACTCAAAATGTATTCAGAATATATGAAGAGATTCGTGTCTACAGACCGTTGTTTTATAAAACCATGCTGTTCATCGTTGAGTATATTAATAACGTCAAAGAAAAGAAAATCAAAAATTAAAGATTCAAATAATTTTGCAATAATACATAATTTAGATATTGGCCTAAAATTTTCTACTAAGTGTTTGTCACCAGATTTGTGTATAGGGATAACATGAGCAGTTTTCCATATCTCAGGAAAATGCCCCTCACATAGAGATTTATTAAAAATTAAAAATAATGGCCGGGATAAATCAACAATGCAATTTTTTATCAAATTAGTATGAATATTATCAGGGCCTGCTGCTTTATTAGGTAAGTTTTTGATTTTTTCTATGATTCTATGTTCGTCAATGTGATAGTTCTTTATATGATGCCCGTGATGTGTTTTGTCAAATTCATGTAAGGAAATTTTTGAATTAGTAGAGTTAAAAGATGATAAAAAGTAGTTTGCAAAAATATTGCAGACATCTTTGATATCGGTGACTAAATTATTGTTATTTTTAAGAAATGAAATAGTATCAGGATTTTTCCTTTTTGATTTTATAAACTGCCATAACATTTTAGGGTTTTCTGAAATGCTACTCTCACAAGTTTTAATGTATTTTGCATAATCTTGAGAAATGAGGTATTTGGATCGCCCTCGCAATAATTTGAAAGTTAGAAAATCTAATTTATTTTCATACCTTTTCCATAAAGAATGATATTTTTTCTTTTCCTTTAGGACTTTAATTGTTTCAAGAGTATACCATGATGGAAATTTTTTATAAGATTTTGAATTTTTCGGGACATGTTCTTCAATTAGATCATTTAATAGAGAATAGAATATATTTGTACATTGACTGGTATTTAAATTGTTTGTATAGTAATCAAAGTATGTGATTCTAAGACAAACAGGAGAAAGCATTTTTTACTATAAGAGATATTAACGCAGATGTTGAACAAAGTAGTTTGCTAGGATACGTACTTTACCTATTGTACACTTGTGAGTGATATACCCTTCGAGCGTAATATGCTCGAAGGATATACCACAAACCGAACATATGACGATCGCTACTTGTACTGACGATATTCATAGACAGACATAGCTTAGCAGATAAACATAACAACGAAAAACTATAAATAAAACAGATATGTACCAATGTAACTTAATGAAACAAGATGTGGAGAAAAAGGATAAATGAGAGCAATTCATCGTTCATTAACTTTGGCTATAAAGAATGCTATGAAAGAATGGGAACAATTACAAATAACCATAAATAGTTAGGTATATACCAAACTACGATATAGAGACTGAAATACCTGGGAATGAACCTGGATATTCGATTAAAATAAAAATACACTTTTTAATTGAAATGTATCTCGTAAACCGTTAATAACAAAGAGTTGGTTAAAAGGGAAAGAGTTGTAAGTATATGTCAACCAATCTGAGAAAGTATTGAAAACAAAAAACAGCGCAGGTTTCTGAAATACTAGATAAAAAATTCATAATTTCCATTTAATTCAGTATTCTTTCCATTTATTTAATTTAGTATTCACTTGACTTTCTAAGAGTGAGAAGGTCTGAGCAGTGTACAGTAGGTGAGTTCGGGCTGCGCACTCCAGAGTGGAGTGGAGTAATTAGGCGTAAACGGAGTGCGAATATGATTTTACTCCTTTAACTCTCGGAGTGCAATGTCAGTTGTCAATGTGACATACCAGTACTTAAAATTGAATCGTACTTATCAGTAACGACCGTATAAGTTTCTTCCACATTAATGATATTCACGGGAACCAAAAAAAAAACTTATTTACTAAAGAATCAGTCACAATTAACTTATTATCGATTTAAATCACCTTATGCGCATGCTCGATCCACACTCCACTCCACCATCTCCGAATGGTCAAAGAGGAACTTTTATTTTAACTCCTTCCGTACCCGAACGCCTTAGGTACTTTAGGAGTGAATATAGTGAAAAGAGTGCGTAGACCGAACTCACCAAGTGAATAGTGTATAGTAGCAAAGTTCAAAAGATTAAACCGCAACCGGTATGTATTACAAATTAAAATTTATCAAAAGCAAACACCGTTTATTAGCACCGTGGACCAAGCCCACAACATGTACGGACAAAATATACATCAACAACAAACACCACAACAATTTCATTACCAAGTTTTTTCACAACAGTAATTTCCACAATAACAATTCATGCTACAACAAATTATAAATCCAGCTTCACAATATCCAACAAATAAGTTAAATTATAACACAAATATGCCCAGCTCTATCAATAGCGAATATGTCCAGCTCTATAAAAAAACGGCCCATAAAAAAAAAACAATACAGAAAATCCCTAGAAGAAATTGAAAAGTACTCCGTAATAATTAGTAAATACAATTCGCAAGTACTTAAAAAAAAGATCACAGTTATCTCCAGAGGTAAACAAAATAAGTACACCATTTGCATGTGATACCCAGAATAGATATGAGCAACTCTCATACATGTTAGATGATTATGAAAACCTACAAAACACCAAAACTGATGATGCTTCGACAAGTCAAACAACGAAACAACCAAGAGAACCAAAATATATCTATGGAGTAGCAAATTATGAAGAATTGGAAGCATATTTAGCAAACAGCAGAAATTACAAACGCATTAAAGATGAAGGACATTAAGTACGAAATATTTTATCTTCTCTTATTCTTTATAGATCTAGAACCAATAAAAAATAATAAAAATATATTTAATGTAAAATACTTGTGTAATATGAAGATTAACGTTGAAACTCCAAGGAAGAAAACTAGCATCGTTCAATGTACTAGATGTCAGTCCTATAGATATAGAGAAACCTATTGAGCTAGACCATATGGATGCGTTAAATGCGGAGGAGGTCATAATACATCCAATTGTAAGAAACCTGCTAATGTACCACCCAAATGCACACTTTGCGAAAGAACCCATCCGGCAAAATACAAAGGATGCCAAGTCTACAAGAACCTTCAACAAGCTAGAGGAAAGCCAACAAATACGCCACGTTATAACACTAGACAATCAAATATCAATATAAATGACACCAACCAATTCCCTCCAATAAATACCAATCAACCTCAAAACCAAATATACTCAGCCACACAAAATTCATATTCTCAAATTCTTACACAAAACCAAAAACCAATTAACATAATGGAACAACTAACTTCTTTCAAGGCAATGTTCAACCAGCTTATGAACCAGAATAGCATGATATTAAATATGCTTAGCACTGTCATCACCAAAATTGCTAAAAAGTGGCTAATCTGCGAATTGTTCTCTGGAACGCTAATGGGCTAAGCAACCATAAACTTGAACTCATCAATTTTATTTAGATGCACAAAATCGATATTGCTCTTATATCAGAAACGTACTTTACAACCATAACATATTTTAAAATACCGCAATATAATATTTATCACGTATCTAACCCAGGTCCTGCTAATCCGCAATACAATATCCCATCATGAACTCGATCTATCACCAGACATAAAATTCAAGCTGCAAACGTCAAAGTAGACGCTAATCCATGGCTTTGAACAATATAAACCATCTACTGTCCTTCTCGACATGCCATATCGACTAAAGAATATGTAGAATATCCATTCAGAGGCTTCAAAGGCTTATAGTTTAAAGTATTGAGATCAATAACCAATGCAACATGGTACGTGAGCAATTTCACATTGCACAATGACCTGCAAGTCCCTTTCGTCACAAAAAAAGGAAGAGAAGGGGGAAAGAGGTCCCATCACCACCCCCGTAACTAGCAGCTACATTCCTCAATCGTTCAGGTTGGAGTGTTAGGCTTTCCATAGGAGTGGATGAGAAAGGATTTTTTTATTATTTATTGAAATTTAAACAATTTACTATTTTATTTCTTACGTTACAATTATGCGAGCCTTCTTTCTTCATTATTTCGTGATCCACTAGTGGTCCACTGTGTTCTTTGGCGTTGGGTGGAGAGCAGGCTTGGCTAATGCCAGTCTCAGCGTTGTACCTTATTAATTAACCCCCGGTTCCAACTATCGGGAAGATGCAGAAAATTTTGTAAGATAGTGGAAAAATGTATTGAAATGTGTTAACTATGGTTTCCAGAGAGTGATATTTGTAGGAAAAGAATATATGGGGGAAAGGAAATTATTATTATAATATTTTACAGAAAATTTAAATATTAAGAAAGTGTCTATAAACGTTTACGTGTCCCTTTTGGGGAAAGGTACTCTGGCTTCTCAAGGGAAGTCGTCAGGTTCGAATTGAGCTAACTGTGGAAGGTGTTCAATAAGGTTGAGAAATGCAGTAGGAGGATGAATTGGATTTTTCCCAAAATAAAGGTCCAGCAGAATTCTTTCGTTGTCAAAGTTTCGACAAAATATGATACGATGTACGGGTATATCTTCTACGCCACAGTTGATGCAGTTTGGACTGACTGCTTTTCCTATCCTGTGCAGGTGGATCATGGAATTTCCGTGTCCGCTTGGACATGTACCACTTTTTGCTTGAGTGGTTATGTGCTGGAGGAGAGCCAATTCTCTACACTCGGGATGAGTGAGTGTAGGTGCCTGCCCTTGGTGGTGTTGTCCCATTCGACCTGCCATGTTCGTATCAGGATGTGTTTCATCTCCAGTGATACCGCTGTCCAGAATCTGTGGTCTACTGCTACTATGTGGTTTCCTAAGAAGTAGGTCGGTCCTGTATTCCTTAGTTCAGCCAGTGATTTGAGGAATATCAAGTGTAAGTGTAGTGGAGGTTGTTTCGCCAAAATACATAGAGTCTTAGTCGGTGTGGAGCTGTATGCTCCAAGGATAACTTTGAGACAGGTTGCTTGTGCCGACCTGATTTTGTTTTTATTTACCACGAAGTGTCCCCAGATTGGTAGCGCGTACGACATGATGGGAATGATTGTGTAGGTATATATGTGACGTAGAGCGTCGTGGAATTTGTCGATTCGTCCCCAGTTTCGACTTAGTGTTCTTCGCAGGAGGTGAAAGATTTTCCTGCACATATCCGTTATATGATATGCGTTCCCCAAAGGCTAGTTTATGGTCCAGTATCACACCCAGGCATTTGATGGATTAGACTCTTTGAATTGGCTTATCATTGTATCTGATTACTAGGTTTCTTGCAAGTAATAGGTTAGAAAATACGATGTATTTAGTTTTGGCTTCAGATATTTTTAATTTGTTTCTTGCCACCCATTGTGATAATGTTGTCATGCATTCACTTGCCACGTTTTCTAGTTCTCGACTACTTGTACCGGTTATCGTGATGGTGATGTGTTTACGTTTGCTGGTCAGTGGGTAGTAAAAAGTGAATCCATATAACCACGTTCCAGAGCGTTGGTCCCAATACAGATCCTCGAGGGCATCCTTTGGTGGATGGCTCGTTCACAGTAGTGTGTTTAGAGGAGTAGCTAATATTTTTATATTTAGGAGGTAGTTTTTGATCATGCATAATAGAGAGCTTGATATGCCCTTTTGGTTTAGTTCCGTGATAAGAATTGGCCACCATAAGTTGTCTAAAACTCCTGATATGTCTACGAAGATGGATAGGCAGCGATTTAGGCTCTTGCGTATACTATCTGTTATTTCTGCGAGAGCCATTACCGTCGATTTCCCCTTTCTTAATCCGTATTGTGCCTCACTAAAGAGTTGGTTTTCGGGCTTTTCTTGATATAGCTAGTTTAAGAGGATTCTTTCTAAGATTTTCCCTAATTCTGACAGTAAGGTTATCGGCCTTAATGATTTTGGATCTGCTGGATCTTTTTCAGGACTCTTAAGGATTGTAACAAATTTATCTGTCTTCCATTTTGTAGGAAAATATCTTAGTCTGAAGCATGCTTGGTACAGCCGTATTATTTGTCTTTTGATGACAAAGACACTTTCAAGACAATGTCACAACAGCCTACAAGACAACGAAAATCTATACATAGCGGCATTTAAACAACCCGCCAAATGACACAAGAAGACTACAACGACAGTGGCCCACAGACCTGATGCAGTAGATTTACGACGAGGATTAATCTTCAGCTAACAACCTTAGCCATGGTATCGATAAGAGGTTCGTCACTAGATGATTTTACTTTTCAAGTCATCTTCATATAACACATTTACTTATTGCTCTAATGAGAGTAGATTGTAAATATGCAAATGAAAATAAAAAAAAAATATATTAATACCACTAGAGTATGTTTATTTTAAAAAGTAGACAAAAACTTGTTCAAGATTTTTTATATCAAGTTGTGCGTATTTAAATTTTTTATCCGCCATTTCGTAAATTCTGAATAGAATAGAATATTTCGGAAAATTTAAGCATCATCAGGTAAGTTTACTAGTACAATACGTAACAGTTCTTATATCTCGCTAAAACCAAAAGTAACGCAATGAACCGTCATATTGCCGAATTCCACAAAGATGACATTTTAAATTATGTGTCATACTTGGTACTTTCCATATTAAAATTAAGGTGTCGCCATTGGAATAAAAAACGTAGTTTTTACGTTTTTTTTATTTATATTACAAAATAATTTATTATAACTTACCAATTAGTCAACATCTTTTGCGAAACACTTTCAAGAAAGGTAGCACCAATATACGAACTCAAAAGTAAACTCCCTATTAGAAATCCTCCTGAATATTTAAAATATTTTTGGTACAAATGGTAATCAACACTTCCACTCTTTTTGTTTTCATGATAAATTTGCCTTCTACGTATTTCAGGTTTTACAATTAATAATTTTTCTTTTTCATTACTTTCTTCCTGATCTTCTTTCTCCTTTTCGTTATCATTATATGCTGGTACACTTTCGAAAGAATCTAATATATCTTCAGAAATATTTTGTTGTTTTCCCTCAAACGTTACACTTCCATCGTGTAAAATCACCAGATTGTCAGCTAGTTTAATATGCTTGGCATTGTGAGTTACCAGAATAACACATTTATTTTTTAATAAACCTTGAATACAATGAGTAAAAATATGTTCTTGCACTTTAGTATCTAAAGCAGTTAAAGCATCATCTATTAAGTAAATATCGGCTTCTTTGTAAATAGATCGGGCTAAATTAATCCTAGCTTGCTGACCTTTGCTTAAATTCATTCCTCCATCAGCTACAATGGTTTCATCGCCATTTTCTAGAACACCGAAATCATATTCCAAAGCGCAAGCTTGTACCACCTTAAACAAAAATATACGTTTCTTAAATTTATTTCCAAATAATGTAGGGAAACTAGTACACTTACGAGTATTAGTCAATAATCCTATTAATTGTGAATAAAAAAGAATATTGTTACCCGAAACGCGAATATTAGCGTATAAAATAATTACATTGTCGTCAGCAAAAGATGAAATATTTCTATTAAATCCATGCGTAAACAAGGAGTTAATATAAATGCGAAATAAGAGTGATCCCAGCAGTTTGTCTTGGGGTACATCAGTAACAATTTTCTGATCAGCACTTAGTTCATTACCAATTTTTACAAATTGTGTTCTATTTTTAAGGTAATATTGGAGAAGGCTTAATGCTATTCCCCTAATGCCCAGGCATTCCAATTCTGTAAATCAAGTTATTGTGATTGTACTTATATGTTACAGAGAGAGAAGAGGGTCCGGATTTAAGATTTGGAACCAGCGCTACACATTGTCTTGTTACGCCACTGCTACCAGGAATCAGTTCTATGAGCTAATGGGGGAAACGAGTGTGAAGAAAAAGAGGCAATAGTGAATAATAGTGTAAGTATTAGAAATATAGAAGGTGAGCCGAAAATGACTAATACATATTAGGTTTATTCCAACTTGGTGTTTGGTACCGTTCTTGTATCATACTAATATCGGTTCATGAACGATATACTGCGCAAGCGCATCTCTAAATGGTTTTGGAATCGCTTTTAAAACTGTTGAGATGGTCCAGAAATAGAGAAAAAGAGGAAGAAAATTCTTACCAAACTTTTCGAATGCAAAATAAAAGTTTTCTGTTTTATTGATGTTGTTAATTATTTTTTATCATTCTAGATTTTAGGGCACAATGGAAAATAATTATTTTTATTAATTATTTTATTTAGACTGTTTAGAGAACATAATTTAAGTTTATATTTGTATGCAACACTTGTTTTTCAGTAATTTTGTTCCAATTTCTTGTTTTAAATCCGGTAAATTCAAATATTGTGATTTATAAATAGTAGTTTCTAAATAAAAATGTATCTCGTGTTCTCATTTGCCTATCAAAACGCTATTAATATGTAGGTTAAGTTAACTAAAACTAACCACTATCAAAATATATCGATCATTCTGCGCAAGTCAGGCCTAACAGTTCCACAAAAATTTGTGAATCGATATGACGGTACAGAAACGATTCCGGAAATATCCATTTTTTAGTTGGAACGAATTCTGTATCAACCCGCACATCGTACAAATTAAGTTGGAATGCTAGGAATGTAATACGCATGCGGTGTACGGTTACGGAATGGTTTTGTATCGAGTTGGAACAAACCACTGATCTGTATTATTTTACTGGATAGGATATAGCCCCCTAAAAAACGTTCCGAAAAATTGGCCGATTTGGGCAAATAATATGGCGGACCGGATGTTATTTAACGTAACCTCTATTTCCATTTGTCATCACATTTGTCATTTAATTGTGTCAACAAGCTACGATGAGATGTTTTTATTGTGGAAAACAAAGTAAAAAGAGTATGAAATAAACAATAAACGTTCATTCCTGAAGACACAATATGCTTCACGTTTCCATTTTTATATTTTCTTTCACAAAAAATCAAATCATGGGTGAATTTTCCCGAAGTACATCACCCGCAAAAGGAATAGAAGAAGAATAAGAAGAAAAACTAATCAAATTATAGTTTAGGTATGTCAAATTATCCCAAATTTCAGTTCTGTGAACCCACCATAATTTGCCCAAATCGGCCAGCATTGTTGCACTTCCGGTCTCCTTGGTGGAACGGTTTTTTAATATGTTAAATATAGCCTATATCCTATCCAGTAAAATAATACAGATCAGTGGAACAAACCTATTAGTGTACTCCATAGAAAAACTAAAACGTGTACTCGTTAGACACTGTTGGAGACTGTTACTCTTATAAGAATAAAGACATATCGTAACCGGATGAAAATATATAGTTAGTTTTTAAGTAATCTTACCGAAATATATCTTTTATAATCGTATTTCTCCCCAAACAAAATGTTTTGTTTAATGGAAGATGGAAATAACCAAGGATCCTGAGAAGCGTAACTTTTTCTACCCCTTGTTCTAATTTCCCCACCATCTAATAGATAATCTCTCAATATTACTTTAATCAGAGAACTTTTACCACAACCGAGTTGACCAGTAATAACATTCAATCCGACTTCAAATTTTAAATTGATATTTTTCAAGATGTCTCTGTTATTTAATTTCAAAGAAATGTTACGTAAGTCAATTTGAGGTTCATCATCAGGTTTATCAATATACTCTGGAAGTTCTTCGAGCTGTAAGATATGGTTAATTCTCTTTAGGGATGCTGAGAGTTCTCCAAGTCTAGCAAATCCAAATGAAAATGACATAGCTATCGTGTGTTTTAGATGGTTAAATATCTTCATCACATAAAAAATATCTTCTGCGCTCATATCATTGTGTAACCATATGTATATCATTATTATTGCGTAAAACGCAAATTTTGCAACTAGGCTGCTAGATATCATTAACACTATTTTAAAATAAGCTCCTTTCATCAAAATTTTCATTTCTTTGCTACAAAAAACAAATATATTTAATAAAGAAACTAAATTATCCACAATTTTTTTTAAAAATAGACCATGACTGACAAAGTCAAATATACGAGTCGCGTCCGTGATGACTACGGACGCCTGGATTAAATCCAAACTATTTAAAAAGAAAGATTAATTGTACGCTCCCATGGTATAAAAAATAAAAGGTAGGGAAGGATATCAACAGTATCAAAAATAAAATGGCCACTCGCATGACGTCACGCGTAGAGTTTGTATAGGCGCGAATTTAAAAATACTGACGAAGTGAGAGAAAAATATATGCTATTTACAGAAATTTCATGAATACTAAAGGATAATATTTAAGGAATTAATTGAAATATCTAAGGATATTATTATGGGATAGTTAAAGAAAGAACCATAAAGAAAAATAAATGCTAATACATACATAAAATGAATATTTATTTAAATAACAGTTTTTTTCCTGTTTCTTTTTATTGATTTATTGTTGTTATACAAATTCGAATGCAGGTTTTTAATTTTGAAGAACATTCGACTTGAAAAGAATAGTTTCTATAACCAGGATAATGAGAAGGATATCTTCGTAACTCGGAACTTCTTAACTGCTGACCCTGCGTATAAATTTCGCATCTGGGGACGCCGGAAATTTTTACCTGATTAGGATTCTCAACTGGTGTGACTCATTTATCTGTATTATTGAATATACTTAACTTAATATTTTATGAAAAGATAGGATTTATGTATAAGTACCTGGCTCTTCTATTGGCCTGACAAAATCGGTAGTGGCAGACCTAATCAAAAAACATTCCCTTGTGAAATTCAAGGAAAGATGGAATGAAACAAGAAACTGCAGAGTTGCCAGGGAACTCTCAAGTTATCCTGACAACACTGCAGCAAACAAATACTTGACTATGACTAGACATGATCTGCGCCTAGTCACAGGCATTCTGACTGGTGATTGCCAAGTACGAAAGCATCTCCATATCATAGGGCTGTCAGAATCCACACTCTGCATATCCTTTACGATTGCTCGACGCTCTCATTTATGAGAATATTTGTGTTCGGCGAGTATCGGCTAACACCGGCCGATATAAGAGAAGCGCCTCTTAGAGACGTTGTCAACTACATTAAATCTGTAGGCTGGTTCACGAGTCAGGAGATGCCTATCATCTCAGGAGGATGCACAATGGACCTAATAAACCTAAGTGCCGTGGGGGTAACCCACCCTCCACACGTTACAGATACAGATGTATAAGATAACCAAAATTTGTTTTTAAAAAATAGTTTTCATACAATATAATACATAGCATAAAAATAATGTACTAAATACAAATAACTGCTACATGGTGGGTGTATATACAAAATGAAAATACATTTTTTCCTATGCAAAATCACTGACAGTTTTTTTTAATTCTTTCATCGAGAACAACATGTAGAAATTTTCCTTTTCTTGCAAATATACAATTTTACTTTTGCTGTATATTACGAATGAACTAAAGTGAAGTTCTGCTTTTAGGATCCTTTTATAATTATTGGAAGGTTAAAAGTGCTTGGAATAGACATGACAATTTCTGTTTTAAATATATCTGCACGGCCACAGGCCACTGAAAGGGCTGCTCCAAATAAAATTTCGAGGGGATAGCATTGCCTTTAACAATTCCCTTATATCATTTTTTTTTATTAAAAGGCTCATGGATTTTAATTATTTTATCTAGGGGGAAAGGGTGACATGGTCCCCTGGAATCCCCACAGGAGCTGCCCTTGTGCCACTGCTCACTTATGACTAATCTCTTACTGTCGAGGAAAGCGAAAAACAATGTCTCTTTTAAGTCCTTTGCTTTGATTATTACTGTTACACCCGTAAATAGCGTACCTTATTAATGTTGTTCACCTATACCACAACATAATATAATACAAATATTCTCTTAAAATGTTATAGAGCACTAAAAACGACTTACAAATCACTGCAACTTGCATCTGCCATGTGATATTTACTTCGTGCCACCTCTACTAACTCTACGCATGACGTCACCGCCGCCATGACACCATGCGCGATATCCCCCCCTGATTTTACCATGACCTATTTTATAAACATAGTACTTACAATCTTGATTCACCGATTTTTTCAGCGAAAACATTTTCCCAGGTATACATTTTTATAGTTTTTATTGTAGATAATGTTTCTTGCATTCTTTGTAATCTTTCATCGGTTCTTTTTGACATCTTTAGCCTAAAACTTCGAATAATCCTAGATGTATATCCTAAAAAAAAATTACATATTATGCCACTTGGGCTTTGATACAAATCATTTTGTTTTTATAAGAGCGTCATTTTTTATTGTTATTTCTTAAACAATATTAACAATGGTGAGTGAGTGAGCGAGCAATATGTGAGATATAGTATAGGATATACTAAATAGGGAAAAAAGAAAAGTCCTTTGTATCTCAGTGTTATTTTTAATGAGCAGGGTTCGAACTTTGTATTATTGCATCTTCGGACACACCTAAATAGGCCAATTATGTTGCTGATATGTTACATTACGATAGATAATTATTTACTTAATTAGTAAATAAAAAACAGAATAGATCATACATTGAAAACAAACAATATTGTAAAAAAATTATACAATTTTCAATAAATTCATGAATAAACGGTACTATATATTTTTAATATTTATATAGTATATCTACATGTAACACAATGGGCCGAATTAATGCAACAAAGGAAAACTTTTTACTTGCAAATGCTTTGAGTTGTATTATTAAAAATTAAGCAGAACGTTTTCCTCTTTGAACAAAAGCAAATGCTTATCCAGTAGACGTTTAAGTAAATGGGTATTCATAAATGAAGCAAATCCTTGCAGAATGATGTACCCAGGGCCGACAAGAGGAGGGGGGTAGCCGGGACCAATTCCCGGAGCCCGGGCTCAAGTGGGGGCCCGGCAGCTTTAGGTGAGGACGTTTTTTATTTTTTTAGAAGTTCGCCACAAGAGCAGAATAGGGAGGATCTTGCGGGGCCCGACCTGGAAAATTGTCCCTTGGCCCGACCTTGGCCCTGGATCAAAGAAGTAGAGAGGGTAGAACGATAAGGTACCGTCTGTGCATCCATCACGAGTGTGGAAATTATGCGTGATTCAACCTTCCACTCTCATACATGTAAATGATAAGGAGAGGTTGCCCTAAATCACTGTAAACAAATTCCAGGATTGGCTTTGTTCAGCGATTATGTTCATGTTCAGCTCTGTTTTTTGTTTCTTTTGTGGCTGTTGTAAGCTTCTTTGGCGTCAATTCTTTGTTATATTGCGTATATTTGTGATTTTTTGTGCTTTTATTTCAATTTAGTATTAAATTATACTTGTTAATTATTTTCCGATGCACTATTTTATAGTTGTTGCACAAAATGTTGTTAAACCGTCCCTGAATCTTGTTTACAAAATGTGCAAAACGAAATTGTGCATAGTGTCTAGATTTTTTCATTGACAGTTATCATTCTACCCCTCTTCCCCTCCATCGAGTCTGTTGCAGACTTATCATTGTAGTTGAAGGAGTGTTTCCGTCTTCTATGGCTGAGGTAACTCGTTAACGTAAGACTCGTCAAATATTATAAACCTCGTGATAATCCACACAGCAAGGATTTTAAAAAGTTATTTCGTTTTGAAGAAAATAATGTTGAATGGCTCAAACTAATTTCTAGATGAAGTTCAAAAGTCCCGAGGTGGCATGCTGTCGGTACTAAAAAAAATGAAAATATGTTTGTGGATATCTAGCCGATTTCGATTATCAAAGTGGAATCAGAGAAGAATTTAGAATGCCTCAAGGTAATAATAACAATAATAATATTGCCTTATTCACTTTCTTACGAGTGAATTTCAACCTCAAAAGTCGATTGAGCTTGAGTGGAGAAGGAACGGCTATTATTATTATTATTATTATTATTTGCCGTGGAGTTCAGGGGCTATTTAAAGATGATTAATGGTGCCATTTGACGAGTGAAGAACATCCGGAAAATCTCACCCATCATCATCGAAACGATAAAGCACTGAGATTTATAATCTTAATGCCAACAACCATTAAATCCTATAACTAAGCATGCAAATTATTTAAAAATGCACATGGGTTACTCTAGAATTCGAAGACGTGTTCGTTAAACCACCAAGAGCCCCGTAAATCAATAGGAGCTGTTCGAACATACTGCGGTACCAAGTCGAATAAGTATTATATTTGTTCTTACCACTTAACTAGTTTTATTCTATTATTTCTTGTTTTCTTTAAGTTCATTTTTTTATTAACCCTAGTCCTTATATTGTAACTTTCCTTATAAAACCTGAGTTTTTCCTAAATATTCCTTTGTATTTCTTAAATACCCTTGCGATTGCTCCATCTTTTCTTTTTTTAAACTTTTGGAACTTGAGACCAAAATATCAGGACAAGCTTGAAGTTATCAGAAATAAATTTCAACTCGCTGCTGTTGCTACGTTCTTCAGTTTCACTTTCACTAGAAAATGTCATGTCAAAAACCAAAGTTTATACACACTAACAAAATATTAATTTCACGACCCCTACTAACAAGAGGACCACTATTGACTAATTATCAACAGTAAAAATATCGACAGCAAAAAATGTAATGACATGCTTGTGCTAAACAACATCTGCTTTGGGTGTCTCATTAATATTACCAGTGGACCCATTTACTCTTGACTGAAAGGATTTGCTTGCAAGTACATGTAAGGTAATCAATATTAATACAAGTAGAAGGATTTGCTTTTACTTCTACCTCTTACTTGCATCAAAACTTTTTACTTTTGCCTTTTCCTTTCAAGCCTTTCCTTCTTTTTATTAATTCCACTAAATAGGCCGTATTTATAAAAATAAATGAGGATTTGCTTTTACTTCCAGAAATGGAAGCATTTACTTCACATTCTATTCATAAAAAAAGAAGGAACCTATTTGTACTTGAAGTAAAAAGGCTCCAAGGCAAAAGTTTCACTTTTTTGGAATCTATAAATAGTAGTATTTGTTTAAAAAATGAAGGATTTACTTCAAAAAACATTCATCTAATGCAGAAAAGCTTCTGTAGTAAATTTTTAGGAAAGGGGTATGATCTAAGTGTTATTTTGCACGACAGATCCAATACCATTTTATGGTGAAGATGTTTTATGCTCAACAGCCCTCTGCCTCCCTGGTCGTGTGAAAGGTATATTCTTTGTATAGATGAATTTGGATGCAAACACCTATGGATATGCATCATCTTGCGGGTCTTGATGTCTAGTTGGCGCAGCTCCTCTTGTGTTCATTTTATTACACCAAATGAGTAAAGGAGGATCGGAATGGCAAGCACCCACTATGTTTTTTCTAGACAGTTCTGATGACCAGAACTGCCGAATGAGATTCCAGTTCTTGCCACGTAGAGTCTCTTTAATGAGAACAATCTTATGCATTTGACGTTTTTGCATCCCCAGATATATGACTCTCCGACGTTTAAATGTTGTAAAATGTTTCCATCCAAAAACTGCACTTCCTCTCCAAAATTCTCGCTTAAAAACGCATAATCAAGCAACAAATCGGTTTAAATCTGGACTAAGATTAAAAATATTTTTTTTTTCATGTTTATTTTATTTTATAAATTAGTATAAATCATACATTATTTTAAAATTAGTTATTTTATTTTAATAACCTAAAACATTTTTTTATATTTGTAGATTTTGTTAGGGGGTCAAGTGGATTGTCCATATCGAACTCTTGTTGCACAAAGTAGTATTTAATAACCAATAATGTGCCATTTGTTTAAACTCAGTATTTATTTTTCATTAATATTATAGTTAAATAAATAATACAAGGAGGTAGGTAAATCTCTTTTTTTTTTAATTTAATATCTATGTTGTGAAAAAGTATATAAAACCTTTTTATATTATAATTTATCCTCTTCTGGTAGGTACCTTTTAATTTGTTTAATAAAAAATTTTCCTATTTTATATTAATCATATTCATAAATAAAAATATTTGCAAGGCACGTGTGATTACAAATTAATTGTTTTCATAAATAGATTTATATTTTCAAGCAAAAAAAATTATTTTCAATCGCCATATATTTAGACTTACTCTTGTAATAAACTAACAGAATAAAAATAATATACATATCTATACAACAAAAAAGTTTATATCTCAAAAAAGACGATGTAGATATTTCTGTACATTTTAAATGGCCTGCGTCTGAAAATGTATTAATGGTGACGCAGCTGCTTTGCCACTACGTGTAAGAAATCGGGGAATTCGGCTATCCTGTAGTATAAAGTCGTTGGTTATAACCGTCCCACAGGAAAGGCAATACAACAAGAAGTAACAAATTAACGCAAATACGGAAATCAAATGAATCGATTTAGTTTTTAAAACTATTTAGCTACTGTAAGCGTATTTTTATTTAAGTATAGGTAAAAAAATCGTTTTAGGAAACTTTTTACTTGTGAGTAAAATACATGTTTAGAAACCTGCTTATATTTATGACAATTGATTTATATTTGTAATGGTTAAAAAATAAATATGCCAATCGTACTTTTTAAGAAAATAATTTATTTAGCACTTTTTCTCCGTGTGTGTTTATGTTAAAAATAATTGTTTAGGTTTATAGTATTCATTTTACATGTGGAAAAACAAATGTTATCTTGTATTTGCTTTGCATTGTAGAAATAAAATTTGTGGTAATGCAATCGTTGATCTACTAGGTACTTAGAATTCCGATTGTCGTTTTATTTATTTTAAATTTAAGTCACATTTACATATTTACAGTTCACAAAATATTAAAAAAATTACATTAAGAGGCATTGAACCCACAATAAATTAACAGCGACAAGAGTTGGTTTTTTTTATATAAAATGCATATCTTACCTTGTACTGGAATTACAGCTAATAATATTAAAACGCCCACTACCGAAGAGACTCCAACCCTCTGGTAAATCAAATAGCAAATAACGATAGTTTGAACAATGGAAATCCAAATATCATTAAAAATGTTGAGCGAATGTTCGAATTGTGTAACGTCTTTGGTAATAACTGTTACAATATTACCTGAAACATAAATTTTAATAATAATTTTTCAGGAATACCTTCTGAAATGGGATACACTTTCTTGATGTTCATGCTTTTTTAATTATTAAAGTCCCTCTGGTATAGAAATGTTCAAGCTGCAGCTACGACCATCGCATCCTATACATATATTATTACCAGCGGAATCGGGTAAACGTATCTATTTACGGGCTAGGAGTAATTATTTAAGTAAAAAATAATATCTCAAACCATATTTCTGCAAAAGTTCAACAGCTATTCACAATTTATTAAACTATTTACGCGAAATTGTTAGTGGCCAGTATAAAATAATTTTCTACGCCAATGTTTCGTGTTCACTACGGCTAGCTCCGCAGCAAAAGTGTCAAATCCTGTGTATGAAGTGGAAGAACTGCAAAAAGCCTTTTAAACTTCTGTCCCTGCTATACTAAAAGGTAAAGGATGTATAGTTCATTTGCCCAATTGAGAGCGGACCAGTGTTCCCAACCCTTCTCATGCGATTTACCGTATTGACCATCCAAAATTACCGTATTTTTCGCCGTATTGCCTTAAATTATTAAAAATAACATTTAAGGTTACCTATATTTTTTTTCACATAGCAAAAATGTTCTATATTGACATTGTATGAGAGTGGGTATAATGGCATAATGAATTTGATGCTTAGTTTTTCTATGCTAACCAATACACATGGAGGAAGGATATAGAACCAATATAATTAGGTCAGTAAACAAGGAAACTTAAAGCAAAAAATTTAGATAATTTTGCTTATCCCTAATAGTTTACAAAAACAAAGTGAGAAATTATTCTATAATTATACAGGGTGTTTCTAAATGCATGCGACAAAATACAGGAGGTGATTGCTCGTATGAAATTAAGATGGGTCTTTCCTATACCAAAATTTCCTCAGCCCACCCCTTTCCGAGATATCACCCTTAAAAGGTGGTGAATAAAATTGAGTTTTAATTTTTTTTTTTTTTTTCTAAAATTTCAGTAAAGCTAGAAACTTGAAATTCTGTAATTTTCATGCACTCGCAAAGGACTAACCACGTATTTTTTCAATATTCCTGTTACATTATAGGGGGGTGAAATTAGTAACCCATACTTTATTTCATATCAAAACTTTTTTTCGAGATGAAGTTTTATGAAATAAAAGTATAACTTGAAATCCTTGTTTTATTTAAAAAAAAATTTATTCTTAATTTTTTCCCAAAATCAACAGCTGCAGAGAAAAAAAAAATAAACACCATAATTTAAATTATAGATTCACTAGTTTCTATTGATGTATACATGATGGCTTTAGTCATTCTTAACAATATTGGTTTTGTTGGAACAAAGTTAACACAGCTTTGGTTAAAATATAGCATAATATAGATTTGCATAAGCATTTTTTTTTTTAATTTTGGACATTTAAACTTAAATATATTACAATACTCCAAAGTAAATTTTATGCTTACCGTACATTTGCGTACGGTAATAAACTATTTTGTTCAGCCGCATTGGATGGACCAGGGATAGGGTCTGAGGTCGAGATAACGGCGGTAGGTATCTGAGAAAATATTTAAAAGAAAATTTACATTAAATTTTCAAATTATTTTCCATTGACCGCTGTACCTACACTGACTTAACCAGATAATAAATACATTCTTTTCTAACATTTTGTGGCATATTGGGTGCTATGTTCTGCATTTCTTGTCTGATCTGATCTTTTTGCTCACGGATATTTTGGGGTCTGTTAACATATACCTTACATTTTAAATAACTCAAAAAAAGAAGTCTCGTCGACTCAGATCAGGTGATCGAGCGAAGCATTTCACTGTTTCCCTTCTTCCTATCCACCGATGTGGAGAAGAACTCCCGCACAGCTCGAGCGTAATATGGCAGTGTGTCATCCTGTTGAAACCAGATTTTGCGGTCTAAATTATTGAGTATTTGAATATCAGAAAAAAGTTGGATCAAATCAGAAATTAATCTATTTTTCCTATGACCACTTAGGAAAATGACACATATCACACTATATAGTCCTATGAAAAGTGCCCTATATCACACGCGTATGAATAAGAATTTACTTTCCACCCGTGTACGAATATGCTACTTTCCGCAGTACCTAGCTGTCACAAAATGTCAAACACATAATTTCTATTTTGATCTACCTATGTAATGTCCATATTAATACTAAAATCGATATGATTGTTAAATTGTTGAAATTGTTGTAAATTAGATATTTATCTTTAACAATTATTATTAAAATAATTTTAAAATAACTAAGATATGTTTGCTCTTTATTCTGGTTAAATACATAACCGATTAGATCATTCAATTGACATAAGGGGTATTAGCTTAGATGGTTAGAACGTCGATCTTATCAACTTTGCCATTTGAGACCTGGTGAGCAACCGCGTTCAAATCCTGGCAGGGCCAGAATTTTTTTTTTTTCGTTTTTTAGAAAATATGAAAATTTAATAAATACGATTATTGTTGATTATTTTTTTAAATACATTTTAATTATTATAGTAATAATAACCTGGTTTTACATTTTTTGATGACATTATTTTGTGATCGTAGGAAAAATATTGTACATCACTTGTGTGAAAAGTGATTTTCCACACTCGTGTGATAGTCGCACTCGGCATGTGCCTCGTGCGACAAATTTTCCACTCGTGTGAAAAATGTCACTTTCCACACTCGTAATGTTATTCTTTGAAATCCTGTTATTTTTCTTAAAAAAAAATGGACAAATAATTGTATTTCTCACAATACCAGTCCATAAGTTGATTTTTTGTGGTCTTTGCTTATAGCATGGTATTCTTGCATCCAGTGAGGATTTTTATCAGACCAATAACGGGTTTTTTGCCGGTTAATATGCCCGTTTAAATAAAACGTTGCCGCATCTGAATATAAAACGTTTGTTTTCTTTTATTTTGGTCCACACATACACGCAGAATTCAGTTCTTCGGTCAAAGTCGCCTTTAGAAAATTAATGGACGAGACATACTTTATAAGGATGGTATTTTATTATTTTAAAAGTTTTCGATATAAAACACTTTCCAATACCCAAATCCTTAGATAATGCCCTAATGCCCACACTCTACAGTGCGAATTTTCTATTGCCGCTAAAATTACATCTTGTTGAATATTTTCATTAATTAACGTAGGTCTACTTTGCTCTGCTGAAACCCTCTTAATTCTCTGTATTTTCGCTATATTCTTCTTACAGTAGATTGTGAAATAGGTTCAAGATCTGGGAGCACTTCTTGAAATAATCTGCATATACAGGGTGTCCCAAAATTCCGTGTACATAGATCTACTGTATGTTGGTGAGATCAAAATAAGTCAATTGAGCCAAAATTACCTGTATCACAAAGTCCATCGTTTGCCTGTGAGGAAGCTTCAAAGTTGGAAGAAAATTTTAAATTTTTTTTAATAACACAAAAACGCTTCGTTCGTTTTTTATAAAATTTGGTGTGTAGCTATTTTAATTGAAGAGTCATTGTTCAAAGCAAAAATTACACCAACTGAAATTATGGAAGGGTAAAAACCACCCTAATCCTACCATAAATGACATCGTATTTTTTTTTCAGGGTGGCCCCTGTTCCCTAAATTTTTTTTGTGGAGAGCTGTTTCCATTTGTAGCATTTTTTTCTCTCTTGCAAAAAACATGTATCTCTCATGGTATTTGAGTAAAAAAAAATTTATGGACAGAGGGTTAGTCACTTAAAATTTTCAAGAAAACTAAGTTGGCGGTGTCAACGTTACAATAAACAATTTGATAATTTTGACAGATATGTATGTTGTAGAACTGTAAAAATTGTCGATACTACTCATTTTATGTATGTATTGTATTTTTTTTGTTTCGATTTAAAGTTTTTGTGAAGGAATTATTTCAAACATTTTATGGTTGGTATGGAGTACACATTCAATGAACAAACTGATATGTTGCTAGTGCTTGGTTTCTGTAATGGCAACTGCCGTGAGAGTGTTTGGGTATACCATGAAAGATTTCCAAATCGACAGATTCCGAATCACCAGACTTTTACTTCTATCGAGAGGCGACTTCGAGAAATTGGTCAACTGAAACCGAACAGAAATAATGCTGGAAGACCTCGTCATGTTAGAACTCCTGCTGCAGAGGAGAGAATACTTGAAATAGTTGAAAATAATCCCGGAATTAGTACCCGACGACTGACACGCCAAACTAGGATTTCAAAAAGCACATCCAACAGAATAATTAGATAACAACTTATGTATCCCTTTCACATTCAAAGTGTCCAGGAACTCCTACCTCCTGATTATGAGTCTCGTTTGCATTTTGTACAAGTTATTCAAGAGCACAGAGCGGCCGATCCAGTTTTTCACAGAAAAATTTTGTTTACAGACGAGTCATGCTTTACACGACATGGTATAACAAATTCACATAACGAACATGTTTACGCAGATGAAAATCCACATGCCATTAAAGAGAAACACTTTCAACGAGAGTTTAAAATTAATGTGTGGGTGGGTATTATTGACACCTACTTGATTGGTCCATTTAGATTACCAGATCGTCTTAACGGTGACAGTTACTTGCATTTTATACGTCAAGATTTGCCTCAACTGTTAGAAGATTTACCGCTCAATTTACGCCGTGACATGTTTTTTATGCACGATGGTGCACCACCTCATTTTTCCTGCATTGTGAGAGATTATTTAAACGACCAATACCATAGAAGATGGATTGGCAGAGGTCGGGATGCTCCTATTCAGTGGCCACCTCGATCACCGGACTGTAATCCTTGTGATTATTTTATCTGGGGTCACTTGAAAACCAAAGTTTATGAAGTTCCTATCGACAACATTGAACAATTATGGGGTAGGATTCAAACTTCTGTGAACTCTATGCGAAATGATCTAGGCATTTTGAGAAGGGTACACTTCAATTTCTTGCGCCGAATTGAAATCTGCATGAACGAAAGAGGTGGCCATATTGAGCATTTATTGTAAAAAAAATTGATCCTTCTTTTCGA